TTTTGAGAGGCAGAGGGAATTAAAATTGTTAAAATTGCTAGGAGACTTTTAGTTTAGTTTAGAAAATATCATTTAATTCTCACTGAAATTAAAAATACTTTTTCCAAGTTAATTTATGACACTTCTCATGAAAATCTTGAGGGAAATTAGTACACCCATAGTTTTAAAATAGATCCCTTGAAGCCACTCTCGTTTGTTTATTAAAATTTCAGACATTTCAAATGATATAATCGATTATTCGAATGATCACATTACTAATCAGTTTGCTCCACTAAAAAGTTGACTAGAATAACATAATGCAGTTTACCTTCGAAGTACTGATATACCTATTATTAATTTTCAAAATTTTGACTTTATATTTTTTTTATTTTAACACAAATAAAACGACAGCGGTATTGATGCATGTACAAAGTTTCGAACTGAAGTTACAAATGATAAAATTATTGGAAAACATTTTAAATCAACACGAGCCGTCACTAAATAAATGAGACAGTTTTTCTATTCATTTTGATATGCTGGAAGAACCAACCCCTTCCCCCATACTCGTGGGAACAAATATGAGTCAAAATAATTTGGAAATAATGGACACCCAAAGAGAAGAGTTGGATACAGACGACTCAGGCTCCTTAAACATGACTGTCGGAGAGATTGCGTTAGCTTTGGACTCCGACAACTCAAGGGAAGGAGGAACTCTGAAATTAGAGGACTCTAACCTCTTAGCGGGAGGAGGATCTACTCCCAAACAAAAAAAAAACGGGAAAAAAGCAGAGATTAAGCCTGCTGAAAGAGCGAAAAAACCTTCAGGAGCGGAGAGGAAGAAGCTTCTAAAGAAAAGGAAAATGGCTGCAGGAACGTGGACGGAGGAAAATCCCCACAAGAATGCAGCCCAAAAACGAACCCAACGGAAGGAGGACCAAAAGAAGAAAGGGGATAAAAGGCCTCGATCTGAGTCGCAGACTCTCCCCATTCGAAGTGGAACTAAGCGGACCAAAAATGCTCCGGCATCGGTTGGCTCGTACAGAGACACTTTGAGGGGTATCCGACTGGCTGTCATCCAGAGAAGGCACCCAGATACAACCCTGGTTCAAGCACAAGGCGACTTGGTACAAGAAACTCTTGTGAAAAGGCTTTACGCTGTCCCTTCTGGCAGTGGCGGAGCACCACAGTTTCTTAGAACCAGCAGACCACGGACTGGTTAAGGAAGACGGTCAACACTCTGGGAAACCTTTGGGTGGGCGCAGAGTTAACCATGGTTGAATCTAAGGACCTTCCGAGAAGACCCAGGGTTCTGGTTTTCATCCCGGACGAGTCCGAGGTTGAAAAAGTCAAGGGACTTCTTCAGCTCCAGAATACGGAACTGAAGACGCCATACTGGCTTTTAATGAGCAGGAAAATTGAAAAGAGAGGGCAACTCCTAGCCTTTTCAATTGATGAAGCTAGGAACGGTGACCTTTAGGGTCCTAAGGCGGTCTGGCGAGGATCAGGATAATCCAGATCAACCTCCAGCACTGTAAAGGTACTTTTAGACGGTCAGATCAGTTCTGCGTTCAGTCTCAGTTTCAGTCGAACTGTCAGTACAGTATGTGTAAACATAAAAAACTGTAAGCAAATCTGAAACTGATACGGAGCTGTGGCTCGATGGGTATACCAAGTTATCGTATCAGTTGTCAGTTAAAGGGATGTAATTTCCAAACTGAACTGACAAATACCTTAAGGCTGCTTCGGCTGTACTTACAGCGGATGGGGAGGGTTGAAATGGCCCTGGTACAAAAACCGTGGATTAGACATGATACAATAAGAAGTTTAGGAGGGTTGGGTGAAGAGTTAATACATGACAGAATCACAGACACCCCTCTCGAACATGTATAATTGTCAAAAAAAGCATAAAAATACTGCCGTTAACTAATTTCTCTTCCAGAGATTTGACAGCAGTCAGAATGGACCGAAGTGGAGGAGCTGGTGAGATTCTGCAGGCGCAACGGAATGCAAATGATCATTGGGTGTGATGCAAACGCACTTGTAATCAGTTGTCAAATGTAGTTAACGTAGATGTTTTCTTTCGTAGTTTTATGGTCGTAAAGAAAGCACTGTTAAAATATTTTCTAAATCAGAATATGTAATCTCTTTTGTTGATAGTTTTTAGTCTTTATTTTTGAGTAGGTATTATTGTAAATGATATGATTATGGTATTAACTTTTTGTATTATATTATTATATAATCTGGTGGACACTATTTTGGGCTGGTCTTCTCTGTGTCCTGAATAAAATAAAAAGTAAAAATTGGCGTTTTTTCTATCATTAGTGTCAATATAATATTTTTCTTGATTACATTTCAAATTTTAAATATTTTAATCTTCTAAAATTTCTACAAAACAACTTGTCATAACTATTTTTTGACAGAAAAATCTTGGGCCGGACCTGGACGCCCACGCGGCCGCTTTACCGATTCATATGAGAAATACAAAAGGGGGAATGAAAAATTAATTCATATTTCTCTTTTCTGAGGGATCGAAATACGTGTAGACTACCAGGAAATTGGTATTTTACGAAATAAATAACATGCTATTAGATTAAGTAGGTTGTTTTTATGTGCTATGGACGCGATTGTTACTCTTAATTATTGACTTTTGTTACTTGTAAATTATACGGTATAGAGAATTGATGGAACTGAATAATGTTTGCTTTCGTAATTGTGTGAATAGAATATAAAGAATTTGATAAAATCTAAGAAATATTATATTTAGTTTCATACAATCTTTTAATTTATTTTTATTGTTATTCGGGCACAAAATTGTGAAATTAAATATACAGGGTGTTTCATAATATATGCGCAGGACGTGATAGCTCGTCCAAAAATATGAAAATACGTTTCTATTAACTTAAAATTGAAAAAAAAAATCTACCTCACTGGAAAAAGTACGGTTTTAAGACGCCTATTTGAACCGTCAATGTTTTGTACACAAAAAAGGTACTCTTGGTCATACGCTCTAAAATCGACCGTTTTCGAGAAAAATCAAATTTTAATGTATTTCCAAAAATTGACCAGTGTCTCGAAAATGGTAGAGGGTAAGTTAATAGAAACGTTTTTTTCATATTTTTAGACGAGCTATCACGTCCTGAAATCCTGCGCATATATTATGACTTAATGGGAATCTGCCCAGAAAGAAACACGCTAAGGCCCTTCTGGTTTTTCGTTCTGCGCATGATTTTTCTGTTCGACTTTAATCTATACCGAGTTATCTACATAATGCCGTTTTTCCCGTTTGAATCGGACCAACAATAACAAAGATACACGCTTAGGCCCTTCTGTCTTTTTCGTCAAACGAAAACGTCAAACGAAAACGTCAAACGAAAACGATAAACGAAAACGTCAAACGAAAACGTCAAACGAAAAAGGTCAAACGAAAAATGTCAAACGAAAAATGTCAAACGAAAACGTTAAACGAAAACGTTAAACGAAAACGTTAAACGAAAACGTTAAACGAAAACGTCAAACGAAAACGTCAAACGAAACGTTAAACAAAATGTCGATTTTTCTCGTTATCGTTAATCTATACAGAGGTAGCTACATAATTTCGTTTTTCCCCTTTGAATCCGACCAACAATAACAAAGATACACGCCCTTCTGGCTTTTCGTTCTGCGCATGATTTTTCTGTTCGACTTTAATCTATACTGAGTTATCTACATAATGCCGTTTTTCCCGTTTCAATCGGACCAACAATAACAAAGATACACGCTTAGGTCCTTCTGGCTTTTCGTCCAACGAAAACGTCAAACAAAAACGTCAAACGAAAACGTCCAACGAAAACGTCCAACGAAAACGTCAAACGAAAACGTCAAACGAAAAAGGTCAAACGAAAAATGTCAAACGAAAACGTTAAACGAAAACGTTAAACGAAAACGTTAAACGAAAACGTTAAACGAAAACGTTAAACGAAAACGTTAAACGAAAACGTTAAACGAAAACGTTAAACGAAAACGTTAAACGAAAACGTTAAACGAAAACGTTAAACGAAAACGTTAAACGAAAACGTTAAACGAAAACGTTAAACGAAAACGTCAAACGAAAACTTCAAACGTCAAACGAAAACGTTATGCCAAACGTTAAACAAAAACGTTATGCGAAACGTCAAATGTCAAACAAAAACGTTATGCGAAACGTCAAATGTCAAACAAAAACGTTATGCGAAACGTCAAACGAAAACTTTATGCGAAACGACAAACGAAAACGTTAAACGAAAACGTCAAACAAAAACGTCAAACGAAAACTTCAAACGAAAACGTTAAACAATAACGTCAAACGAAAACGTTATGCCAAACCTCAAACTTCAAACAAAAACGTTATGCGAAACGTCAAATGTCAAACAAAAACGTTATGCGAAAAGTCAAACAAATACTTTATGCGAAATATCAAACGTCAAACAAAAACGTTATGCGAAACGTCAAATGTCAAACAACAACGTTATGCGAAACGTCAAACGTCAAACGAAAACGTTATGCGAAACGTCAAACGACAAACGAAAACGTTATGCGAAACGTCAAACTAAAACGTTAAACGAAACCGTCAAACGAAAACGTCGAACGAAAACGTTAAACGAAAACGTTAAACGTCAAACGAAAACGTCAAACAAAAACGTCAAACGAAAACGTTAAACAATAACGTCAAACGAAAACGTTATGCCAAACGTCAAACAAAAACGTTATGCCAAACGTCAAACAAAAACGTTATGCGAAACGTCAAATGTCAAACAAAAACGTTATGCGAAAAGTCAAACAAATACTTTATGCGAAATGTCAAACGTCAAACAAAAACGTTATGCGAAACGTCAAACGAAAACGTTATGCGAAACGTCAAACGACAAACGAAAACGTTATGCGAAACGTCAAACTAAAACGTTAAACGAAACCGTCAATCGAAAACGTTAAACGAAACCGTCAATCGAAAACGTTAAACGAAACCGTTAAACGAAACCGTTAAACGAAAACGTCAAACAAAAACGTTAAATAAAAACGTTAAACGAAACGTTAAACGAAACGTTAAACGAAACGTTAAACGAAACGTTAAACGAAACGTTAAACGAAACGTTAAACGAAACGTTAAACGAAACGTTAAACGAAACGTTAAACGAAACGTTAAACGAAACGTTAAACGAAACGTTAAACGAAACGTTAAACGAAACGTTAAACGAAACGTTAAACGAAACGTTAAACGAAACGTTAAACGAAACGTTAAACGAAACGTTAAACGAAACGTTAAACGAAACGTTAAACGAAACGTTTAACGAAACGTTAAACGAAACGTTAAACGAAAACGTTAAACGAAATGTCGATTTTCCGTTTTTCCCGTTTGAATCCAACAAACAATACGTTTGAATCCAACAAACAATAACAAAGAAACACGCTTAGGCCCTTCTGGCTTTTCGTTCTGCGCATGATTTTTTTATTCGACTTTAATCTATACCGAGTTATCTACATAATGCCGTTTTTCCCGTTTGAATCGGACCAACAATAACAAAGATACACGCTTAAGCCCTTCTGGCAATCGCATGATTTTTCTGTTCAACGTTAAAAGAGATTTAATTTCCCCCACTCCCTCTCAATATGTCTCACTCTTACCCATTGAATCTGTACCTTTCACTCTTACACATTGAATTCCCTATGTGGTCCCGTCGGTGTTTTCTGACTTTTTCTAAGATATAGCCTGTTATTTGGGCACCCGGTACAATGTAAGTTTCTATTAAGAAAATAGGAAAACGCCTGGAGGTTATAATTGAACTAAACCCACCAATAATGAACTCTTATTATAGAGAGTTGACATATTAAAAATTGCATTACAGTATAAGTACGAAAAACGTGACAATATTTTAATTGAAAAAAGCGGTATCATAAAATTGACGAAACAAGTGAGTAACGTTTTATATAACTAAATAAAATCATTAAAGTATGCAAACGATTCGATTGCTAGATAGATTGAAATAAACCCGACACAAAGCAGATCGATTACCATTATAATATAGCATAAAAATACAGGATGATTCAATAATTCGAAAGTTAAAACAAAGCTAAGATCTATTCATAGATTTTATCATTTACATTTTCATTTATTTTTTGTAAAATTAGTTTTCGAGAATGTTGGTGAAAAGTTGCAAGCTAGAAAATTAAAAATTTGCATAAAAAAATATTGAATTACCCTGTATATTGAATTAAACGTGTAAATAAATATTTTTGTGTATAATTACAAATAAAGAAACAGTAAGAAATAAAATTAAATAGTACTCACCATTGGCGCCAAACATCGCATGGTGGACATACTGATTCTGCACCCCATAGTTGGCATTGTTCCCCAAGGCGTAGAACTGTTGGAACAGGTTCTCCGGACTCTCCTCCTGCTCGGTTTTGGCGGCCACGGTCCCCATTTGAACACCGGACATCTGCAGCAGTTGGTAGTGACTGTTGTTGTTGACGTTCTGTTGCGGATTGGTGGTGGAGTCGGCTGTGATGGCCCCCGAAGCTCCAGGTAACGATGGCACTGTGAACTCTCCCTCAGGAACGGCGGCGTCTTTATGCAGATTCTCCAGATGCATTCTCACGTTGGCTATGTGAGATTTGGTGAAGATGTGGTCTTGAATCGAATATTTGTGTGAATATTTGAAGTTGCAGTATTTGCAGTCGTCGGGCATGGAGTTGGCGTCGCTTTCCGGTTGTCCTAAAGCTTTTTGTAATGCTACTTTTCCTTTCTTTTCTTTGGCTCTGGCGTTCTGGAACCAGACTTGTACAACTCGTTTTGGTAAACCGATTTCTCTACCCAAACTTTCGCATTCAGCCATTGTAGGGGTTTTGTAATCGTGGAAAAGGATTTTCATGATTTTTACTTGGGTTGACGACATTTGTGTTCTGTAGCGTTTATTGCCTCCTTGAGAATTCCCACTGTTATTCAGCTTCTGATTGTTGCTTTGCGTACTGCTGGCTGGTGAGGTTGGATTACTTTCATCATCGTAATACTCGGTTGTTTCAGACATTGAATCGCTTCGTTCATCGCATAACGAACGTTCGCTGAGATCAGTTAGTGGACCGGGATCACAAACGCTTCGTTCGTGTTCCATGGATACTTTCATTGGTCTTGATAGATCAACTGGTTTCGACAGATCTAAAGGGATTTCGCCGCCTTCCGGTTTTTCTGATTTTATTTCGCTTTTATCACCATTGGAAGCTGCTGCATGGGCTTGCAATTCATTGATGTATCTTTTCATACTTTCTTCGTAGTATTTTTTTATGGAGTTTTCCATTTCTGGGTGAAGTGAAGGGAATAGTGGTGGAACCATGTTTGAATTTTGAGTCGGATTCTTGTTTTCGCTACCGGAGCTCAAACTTGGTGCTGATTCAAGACTGACTTCTTCATCGGGTAGGGCGTCGATGTTAATTTCGCCTCTAGCGCACTGGTCGGCATGTTTGGTAGTTAAATGAGATTCGAGTGCTGATTTTACTTTAAACAAAGCTGGGCAGAACGGACATCTTTTATTAATTACTTGAGCATGGGCGCGAAATTGACCTTTTCTTTCTCTAGCTCTGGTGTTCTGAAACCACACTTGGACTACTCTTTTTTTTAAACCTACTTCTCTAGCAATATTTTCCAACATCTTCCTAGAAGGATTACTTTCCACCTGGTATTTCTGATATAAATAATCTAATTGTTCTGGCAAAATAGTTGTTCTAAGTCTCTTATCTTTGGGTTGATCTGAAGTATCACTTTCGGCATCAAAGTCATCAACTTTTCGTTTTTGACCCGCTACGTTGTTCAGCATATTTATAAGAGGATGTTGTAAGTTTTGTTGTGAAATATTTCCAATACTATTAGGTTGTTTGTTTGGATCCCCCAAATTAGCGTTTAATTGTTGCAATTGAGCGTGTTGCTGTAGGATACCAAAAGGGGAGTCGGGAGGGTAGGATGGAAAAAGATTTGGGTTCATTAAATGAACAAGTTGATGTTCTCTCCAGAGTTCAAATCTGGGAAAGACTAGATTGCATTTGTCACATTGAAAAGTGCTTTCTTTGGATTCAGACGAAGGAGATGGTGATGTTGGGGGATAATTTCCTTGGCTGGGAGTAGGAGTTGTAGGTGCTGTAGGATGGTTAGGACTTTGCGTGAGATTTGGTTGAGGTAGAGTAGGAGGCATTTGATGTTGTTGAGATTGTTGACATTGTTGAGATTGCTGACATTGTAAAGATTGTTCAACAGTTGTACTTGAGTTGGAATCTTCAGAACTTAAAACTGCAGCGATTTGTGCAGCGGCGGCTTGAGCTTGCGCTGAACGTTTCGCGTCTTCTTCTTTGAAACAGTGAGTTTTTTGATGTCGGATCAGTTCGTAATATCTTTGGAATACCAGCAAACATTTCTTGCATTGATAATTCAGACCTGGCGTTCTTTGAAATCGGTTCGCACCACTTTCATCGATACCCGGGGCGGGTTCTACTGCGGGTTGGTTTTCGTATACTTTGCGAGCTTTCTGTCGAGCGTTTTGAAACCAAACAACAATAACTCTAGGACTGAGATTCAGTAATTTCGAGAGGTATTCGAGATCGTCGTCTTTTGGGTAAGCGTTGTTTTCGAAGAATTCTTGTAGTACCTTGATTTGGTAGTCTGTGAATCTAGTACGGTTCGCCCTTTTACCAGTTGAACCTCCAGAGCCTTGACTTCCGGGATTGCTGTAGTCTCTGTTGGGACTTAGGCAACGGTTGGGAGTAAGGGGTAGCATACCCTGAAGGTTGTTTGGGTTTGGGAAATTCTGTTGATTTATTTTAGGAGGAGGTAACATTGGACTGGTTAAACCGTGATGAGATGATAGGTTAGCCATGTTCATTGTTGGAGTACTGGTTGTTAGAGTATCACCTAGTTGTGATGCAATTATTGATGTTAGAGTTAGATTGTTTGGCGTACTGGGTTGAGAGACGCTTTGATTGTCAGAACTAGCGACAGAATTAGCAGGGCTTTGTACTTGTTGTAAATTTACTGGTAAATTAAAGATATTAGGTTTTTCATCAACCGGTTCTTGCGCTTTTTCTTCGCATAATTTTGAATAGTCATCGACGCATTCTTCTTTTAATTCACTTTTGATTTCTTGTTGGGCGACTTTGGGTGATTCTTTTAATTTATTTTCTTCAGCGCTACTACCAGAGCTATTTAATGGCATGACTTTCGTTTCACCGGTTTTTTCGTATTCTTCTAAATTAAGCGTAGTGGATGGAGGATTATTAAAATTGTACGGACTATCTTTATTGCGTTGTCTCTCTTTGAATAGCGTATTTCTGAACCAATGCTTTATGACTTTAGGAGGCAATCCGCTCTGAGATGCCATCTCGTGTATCTGATCTTCCGACGGCGAGTTATTGATATCGAAATGAGCACGTAAAATTTTCAATTGGTCGTCGGTAATTCGAGTTCTGGCACGTTTCTGGTTAGCAGCAGCGCTGACGACCTGCAGAAGTAAGAAATACCGGTTTAAAGAAATTTATATTATAAAATACCGATTCATATGTACCAAATAGCAGATTCGTAAATATATGTAGCCTTAATAAATTGTAGCAAATTGGCTATAAATCAATTACGATGAATATCACAATGCAAAGTAACGTCTTACAAAACAACAATTAAAATGAACAAGAGAGGACAGATCAGTGGCATAGTTGAAGATTTATTTTTCATGTAGTGTAAATTTAAATATTTAGAAAGTTGATTTTTATTAAATATTGTAAAGTATACTGGGTGGATACTGTTTAATGCTATTGAATATTCGTTTTAACTGTTTTTCATTTGATTCTATTCATTTTTAAAAACTATAGTCTATTTTTATGTATGAGAGAGTAATAAAACAGCATTTCTAATGCAAAACTTAGGGTCATTTTAAATATTTTTACAGAATAATCTAAATATTTTCTAAAATTGTAATAAATGTACCTGAGCTAAAACAAGTTTTGGGTCTTTTATTGGTCCTTTATAAACATAAGCTGTACAGAACAATAGAAAAAGGTTTGGACAGGCCAAAAGCCCTGTGTATTAAAGATTACATAGCCGTATCTTAAGATTATTTTCAATAAGTTGCCAAATTTGTTTTATTTTAATTCCAAGAATTTCTTACAGTAATCGAATTATAAGTAGATAAATACCTTCCCAACAAATTTCACCGAAAATGCGATTATAGGTTTTCCATTTAGTAAGGAGGTCCAAGTTGTGTATTTTTGACAGTTTACTAAGTGTCGTTTAGTTGCAACTTGCAAGGTGCAGTGTGAATTCCAGTGTGATCATGGAAAATTTGGAAGGGCCACGTAAACGACAAAAAATCGGTCCTTTAACAGTTAATGAAAAAACATTAATATTTAATTGTTTTAAATCATTTACAAACATTTATGTAAAAGTGTTGATGACACAGTGGAATTAGTTAGTAGTACGCTTGGTGTTGGGAAATCTACGATTTACAAAGTTGTTAAAGAAGAGAAATGTGGCGAGTTTCAAACAGCACGTAAAGCTCCAGGAAAACCAAAATTTCAATTAGAAAATCTTTTGAAAGAAAGACTTCGAAGGAAAGTGCATGCGTTCTTCTTTAGAAAAGAATTTCCGACAGTAGACAAAGTTCTTACCACGGTTCGAGATGATAAGGATTACCCTGAAATGAGTCGAAGCACACTATGGAAACTTTTAAAAGAAATAGGTTTTTTATGGAAAAATCATTCCAGAAAGTCTATTTTAATAGAAAGAAGCGATATTGTAGTATGGAGAAGAAATTACCTAAGGACTATAAAAGAAATGAGAAACCAAAGAAGAAATATATTTTATTTAGATAAAACATGGATCAACGAGGAACATAAACCAAATAAATTTTGGCAAGATGAAACTGTTACAAGTCGAAGACAGGCTTTTTTAAATAATTTGTCTACTGGTTTAAATCCACCATCAGGAAAGGGGCGCAGACTAATAATAGTACACATCGGTAGTTCAAACGGTTTTGTTAAAGGTGTTTTATTGACTTTTAAATCTACTCGTACCGGTGACTACCATGAGGACATGAATGCAGATGTCTTTAAAGAGTGATTCGAACAAATTATATATCTTCTTCCTCAGAACTGTATAATAGTAATGGATAATGCAAGTTATCACTCGAGACTTATAGAAAAAGTGCCCACAACCAAGTGGTTAAAAATAGATTTACAAAATTGGCTAAATTCAAAGAATATTAAGTTCCATCCCGGTTCTGTGAGAAAAGAACTGTATCATTTGTGTTCCCTTCATAAAGAGAAATTAAAAAAATATGAAATTGATGAAATTGCAAAAAATCGTGGGATGACGGTGGTTAGATCACCACCTTATCATTGCGAAGTAAACCCGATTAAACTGATATGGGCACAGATAAAGGGAGAAGTTTCAAGAAAAAATAATTCTTTTAAAATGAGTGATGTTAAACAGTTGTTTTTGGAGGCTGTAAATAATGAGAAGCCTGAAAACTGGGAAAAGGCAGTAAATCATACGATTAAAGAAGAAGAGAAAATGTGGAAGTTGGACAATATTACTGATGACATGATCGAGCCACTCATTGTAAATATTGGTTGCGACAGTTCATCTTCTGATTTCGATTCTGATGTAAGAAGTAGTTTTTATATTAAAATTATTATTTATGAACGTAACGTTGTTTAAAAGTCAAAGTTTAAACCCTTATACCTACATAACCCGTTTGACACAATGTTTTTAACAAACCTTGTGGAAAAATAAAACATTTTAGAAAAAATTGCACTTTTTTACCTTCAGCTGTTTAGAAGTTATAAGCAGGTTAATTAGGTAAAAATATAAGTGTATACTCGAGGAATAACTTCAAAAAATATTTTAACTGTCTACTAAAAGAAGTGTTACGCCTATGGATTACGAACGCTTTATTATTTTAATACTCTCTCATACATAAAAATAGACTATAAGCTATTCAAATTATTGGAAACAGAATCTTTTGGTTGTTATTGAACAATTAGATCATTATTTTAAATAGGGAATGTTTTTTTTTTTTCAATTTTTATACACCTATTCTATGAAAATAATGTAATATATTAATTTTTTCACTACCTTCTAAACAGAAACACGATAGGTTTGTCTTATAAACAAAATTTTGTCATTTTTTTTCTTGTAACGCTACTGATTACAGATAGAATCAATCTATCCTGGGTCCATAGGAAAATTTGAATAATTATTTGTGGTCTTTGTCGAGCAACTAAAAAATAATTAATGTTGATTACTGTAATGGTGTTAATTAACTGATGACCGACTCGCATTCAAGGGCCAAATGTGAAATCTGTTAAAAAATTAATGCCGATCAAAGTAATTAGCACGATACGTCATAACGAATGTGTTATTTTAAGAACATGAAAATTAAGATTGCGGCGATTTCTATAGACGTAATTATGTTATTTTAAAATCGTGAGCACGCTGATTTAAGATTTCCAATTAGCTAATAGGTAAAAATAGATACAATTAAAAAACTGTTTGTAAGATAAATAGTATACAGAGTGAACTATCTGAGATGGAAGTTATTTTTGTAAAATTCATATTTTTCGATCGATTTTAATTCTTTATTATAGTAGTCTGTGAATGATATTAAAGATTTTTTTGAGATAATAAAAATGTGGGGGGGGGGGGGTTAAGGAGAGCTGAAATATTAAAAAATATCCTAACTCAAAAAGGAAAAATTATATCAACATGAAATTTTTAGCAAAAAGCAAGCTCTATAAGGGGACAAAGCTTATTAATTTTGAAAAATATCTTATTAAAAATGGGGGGTTTAAGAAAGGTTGAAATAAAACAAAAACGAAAAGCATTATGAAATTTTTAGTAAAAAAATAAGCTCTATAAGAAAATGATGCCTAAAAATGTTTAAAAAAAGTGAGGGATTAAAATATTAAAAAAATTCTAACTCAAAAACGAAAAATGATATCAACTTGAAATTTTTAGAAAAAATTAAGTTCTGTATGGGGAACATGCCTTTTGATTTTAGAAAAAAATTGATTAAAAATAGGTGGTTTAAGGGAGTTTGATATAAAAAAACAAATCAAATACGAAAAGCGACATGAACATCAACATTTTTGGTAAAATTTAAGCTTTATAAGAAAATTAAGCTAAGATTCTGAAAAGAGCTTTAAAAAATGGGGAGTTAAGGGAGTTGAAACATTGAAAAAAATTCTAAATCAAAAAAGAACAAAAATAACAACCTGAAACGTTCAAAGCATTTTGTTTTTTCCATTTTAAAGCTTATTAGGGAACGAATATCCAGAGGTCGCGGATTCGAGCACTACCTAGAGTAGGTTTTTATTTATTTTTCAAATTTTCTTTGGTTTTTTCCCGATTTCTTTAGCATTTGTTTCAGCAATTTAAACAGACAAATGTTCATAATAAACCTATATTTTTTATTTATCATTTTTAATCCTATTAGAGATTGTTTAATTGCAGATTTTATTTCTTTACTGGATTTACAACCCTAAATAAAGAAAAAGAAAACAAAATTTGATCAAAATTATTTAACAATACTTAACAATATTAATTTTGGAGACCCCCTATTTCTACCAAGATTTTAGTAAAAATCTTAAAACTGGCAACATTGTTAATGCAGTGAATGCCTCTTTTTAAGTTATAACCATTTAAAATTTAAATTAATAATTGAAAAATATAAAAATAGCTCTATATTCCAAAATTGTATATTTTGAGGAGTTAAAAATTTTTATCAATAAAAAACTTAGGACGTTGTTGCCAATTTTCGCATTCTATCTTATATCTAAGTAAAATATATGTTCAACTTATGCATTTCCAAAATTAATATTGTCATAACTTTATTTCAATAAATATTTCTCAATAATATTTTGGTTTTCTATATTTAGAAAGTTTGTAACTACTTTTAATGCAAAAAAAATCACTATAATTATTGAAAATTAATATCAATGTACACAAATTTGTGTGAGGGTATACATTGTCATGCACTGAATAACTAAAAATTAAAATATTTTAATCTATTGAAAAATATGCATTTTACAGAGGTACTGCAATCTTAAATGGGTCACACTGTGTGTTCAAGAGGTCTCGTAGCTTACTTTGAATTTAGTGATAAATATTTTAGTAATTAGATACCTACAGGGTGTCCCCAGATGGACTAAAAAAGAAAAACTTTTTTATTTTCATTTTTTAGAAAAAATGTTATTCTTCATAAAAGTTTTTGCTGATTCCAAAACTAACAATAATTCAAAAACAAGTTGAATATCTCTTTAATTTAGTGAAATAATGACAAAAATGATTTTTCTTTCTTTACATTTTTGTTTGAAACAAGCAAAAACATTTATGAAGAAAAATATTTTATCGAAAAATTTTTCCTCCTCTTTTTTATTCCATTTTAAATATATTTTCTATTTTACACTGCATTTCTAAAATATACTCAGAAAATTTGTAAATTTTTAT